TAAGACTAGAGACCGTTTTAAGACTAGAGGAGACCGTTTTAAGACTAAAGGAGACCGTTTTAAGACTAGAGGAGATCGTTTTAAGACTAGAGGAGACCGTTTTAAGACTAGAAGAGACCATTTTAAGACTAGAGGAGACCGTTTTAAGACTAGAGGAGACCGTTTTAAGACTAGAGGAGATCGTTTTCCAGGCCGTTGCTCCAAAGCTTTGGAACGATCTCCCGCTCCCATTACGTTCTCTTGATTCTGTGGACGTTTTTAAGAGCAAACTTAAAACCTATCTCTTTTGCAAATCTTTTTAGCAGTTCCAGTGCATTCGATGTAGTTATGGTTTTTATTACATTTTATTGTTTTATGTAGTTATGGTTTTTATTACATTTTGTTGTTTTATCTTGATGTATAATTGTGCACTTCTGTGAAGCACCTTGTGACCTTTGATGTCTGTGAAAGGTGCTATATAAATAAACTTTACTTACTTACTTACTTACTTACTACATCTCAGCATATTTGCAGCACAAATCTGTAGAATTATTCCTGGCTGCTGAACTTTCAGTGAACTGGAAAACGTTGGAACACGTCAGACAGACACAGAAGTATGAAACCACACAATAAAAGCTCGGCTGGTCATCGTAAAGAGCCACAGAGGGAATCCTGAGACACTGGAAGGCACCCGAACGCCCCACAGTCCAGGAATGGAAAATGGTAACGGCTGAAACGGTTTCATATGAGGTTATGTGTCCCGTCTGGTGTGTTGTCATGTCTTGATTACCTATTGTGTTCACCTGGGGTTCCCCTCCCTCATGTGGTTAAATAGTCCTGTTTCCCATGTCCTGGGCCAGTGCGTTTTCGTCAGTTTTGTCTTTTGTCACCCCCACGCCAGTCCAGGTTTGCTTTTGCCACAGTCTTGTTGTTCTTTATTTTGTTACTTTGCCATTGTCATTGTTTTACCACAGCCTTGTCACAGTTTTGTTCATCTTTATTTTGTTACTTTGCCATTGTCATTGTTTTGCCACAGCCTTGTCACAGTTTTGTTAATCTTTACTTTGTTACTTTGTTTACTTTGTTTACTTATTGCTTTGATACTTTGCTCACAGTTTTCCACAGCCTTGTTTTGTACTTTGTCTGGACTTCCACCTTTTTGTTATAATAAACCTTGTCTTCTGTCATCTCCGCACCTGAGTCCTCCCTAAAGAACCACCTACATGACAGAAAAAAGACAAAACGGACGAAAACGCACTCGCATCGGAAACGAGGACTATTTAAACACATGAGACTCCATCTGGTGTGTGTGGATATTGGGGGGGATATTGAGGGGGGGGATAAATGGGGAGGATATTGGGGGGGGGACTGTGTTTTCGGGGTAATCCACAGGAGCCGGTGGAGTGTGTTTCAGCTCTGAAATTCCTTCGTTCTGTCAGAGAGAAAAGGCAAACAAACCCACGAGGCTTTGGGAGATAAAAGAGCAGAAACAGAACAAAAGTGTGCGTGTGTCAAGTAAAGTCAAGTCAAACTTTATTTATATAGCACATTTAAATAATAATAACCAAGGTTGCCAAAGTGCTGTACATAAAAAGCATGTATATGTGATTTTAATGTAAAAATAAATAAATAAATAAATAGATAAATAGATAAATAAATAAATAAATAAATAAATAAATAAATAAATAAATAAATAAATAAATAAAAAAGGTAAAAAGGTGCTCTACCT